TGAGCAAAGCAATCGAGATAACGCCAAGATTAGTAAGATCAAAAGCTCATAAAAGCAAGAGATCCTGTACCACGCTTGTAAGCATCCGGCAGTGCCCCTGAGCTTGCCGGGTGACGGGGCAAGCCATGTGCCCACGGATGGGCGCATTGCGAACCTCGGTCACTGAGATTCTCTTCAGTAGCGCTCAACTCACTGTCAAAAGTCACATGACCCGAATAGATTCAGATGGCAGTAGACGACAATGGACATGCTTCCCCGCGCTCAAACACCATGCAAACACTGCAATTTGTGGGCCGGACGTGCTGGTTGCAGCGGATGGAGCCTTATGCCGTAGATCAACGCACATCGCGGCACATTCTTGATGCAAATGTTCCCAAACAGGAAGCCTATCGAAGTAGGTATCGCACGGCTGCCGGGGCCGCCGGTTTGGATGCTGCGGACGGCTTAGCCGAGGTCGGGAACTTCGCGTACAGCTTCTGCCCAGGTTCAAGGCTCGAGGGTCAATGATGTCGAGGGGGAAAAACATTCCCAGCTCTATGTTGATGTGACTTGGATTGTGGTTTGATGCTGTTGACCTCCAACAAATCTCCGACCCTCTAGCAGCAACACACGAGTGGACATCCAACTTAAGTTGCAGAACTCAAAAGCTCAGTTATGCTGTATGAGCCGTGCTGATTGGTGCCTGAAGATCGCCAGCATTCAGGGGCTTCACGTGCTCCTGGTAGTACTGCCTCCGCCCAAGAATGCATGCAACACGAGGTTCAAAGTTTTTTGCGGGGGTGTTGCTGCAAGCACTTGCCCTGCCCGTTGACTGCCGGCCAGCCTAAAGGGAGTGGAAGAAAATGCCGCGGGCTTTGCTGGAGCAGCTGACTTCAGCGGAGCTTCCTTCACAGGAGCTTCGCAAGTAGTGTCCTTGACCTGGGTCGGCAGCGGTGGTGCTGGTGCTGCGGGCGCCTCAGTTAGACGCATGTTACGTACACGGTTGAGCAAAGCAATCGAGATAACGCCAAGATTAGTAAGATCAAAAGCTCATAAAAGCAAGAGATCCTGTACCACGCTTGTAAGCATCCGGCAGTGCCCCTGAGCTTGCCGGGTGACGGGGCAAGCCATGTGCCCACGGATGGGCGCATTGCGAACCTCGGTCACTGAGATTCTCTGAGCTCAGTAGCGCTCAACTCACTGTCAAAAGTCACATGACCCGAATAGATTCAAATGGCAGTAGACGCCAATGGACATGCTTCCCCGCGCTCAAACACCATGCAAACACTGCAATTTGTGGGCCGGACGTGCTGGTTGCAGCGGATGGAGCCTTATGCCGTAGATCAACGCACATCGCGGCACATTCTTGATGCAAATGTTCCCAAACAGGAAGCCTATCGAAGTAGGCATCGCACGGCTGCCGGGGCCGCCGGTTTGGATGCTGCGGACGGCTTAGCCGAGGTCGGGAACTTCGCGTACAGCTTCTGCCCAGGTTCAAGGCTCGAGGGTCAATGATGTCGAGGGGGAAAAACATTCCCAGCTCTATGTTGATGTGACTTGGATTGTGGTTTGATGCTGTTGACCTCCAACAAATCTCCGACCCTCTAGCAGCAACACACGAGTGGACATCCAACTTAAGTTGCAGAACTCAAAAGCTCAGTTATGCTGTATGAGCCGTGCTGATTGGTGCCTGAAGATCGCCAGCATTCAGGGGCTTCACGTGCTCCTGGTAGTACTGCCTCCGCCCAAGAATGCATGCAGCACGAGGTTCAAAGTTTTTTGCGGGGGTGTTGCTGCAAGCACTTGCCCTGCCCGTTGACTGCCGGCCAGCCTGAAGGGAGTGGAAGCAAATGCCGCGGGTGCTGCAGCAGCTGACTTCAGCGGAGCTTCCTTCACAGGAGCTTCGCAAGTAGTGTCCTTGACCTGGGTCGGCAGCGGTGGTGCTGGTGCTGCGGGCGCCTCAGTTAGACGCATGTTACGCACACGGTTGAGCAAAGCAATCGAGATAACGCCAAGATTAGTAAGATCAAAAGCTCATAAACGCAAGAGATCCTGTACCACGCTTGTAAGCATCCGGCAGTGCCCCTGAGCTTGCCGGGTGACGGGGCAAGCCATGTGCCCACGGATGGGCGCATTGCGAACCTCGGTCACTGAGATTCTCTGAGCTCAGTAGCGCTCAACTCACTGTCAAAAGTCACATGACCCGAATAGATTCAGATGGCAGTAGACGACAATGGACATGCTTCCCCGCGCTCAAACACCATGCAAACACTGCAATTTGTGGGCCGGACGTGCTGGTTGCAGCGGATGGAGCCTTATGCCGTAGATCAACGCACATCGCGGCACATTCTTGATGCAAATGTTCCCAAACAGGAAGCCTATCGAAGTAGGCATCGCACGGCTGCCGGGGCCGCCGGTTTGGATGCTGCGGACGGCTTAGCCGAGGTCGGGAACTTCGCGTACAGCTTCTGCCCAGGTTCAAGGCTCGAGGGTCAATGATGTCGAGGGGGAAAAACATTCCCAGCTCTATGTTGATGTGACTTGGATTGTGGTTTGATGCTGTTGACCTCCAACAAATCTCCGACCCTCTAGCAGCAACACACGAGTGGACATCCAACTTAAGTTGCAGAACTCAAAAGCTCAGTTATGCTGTATGAGCCGTGCTGATTGGTGCCTGAAGATCGCCAGCATTCAGGGGCTTCACGTGCTCCTGGTAGTACTGCCTCCGCCCAAGAATGCATGCAACACGAGGTTCAAAGTTTTTTGCGGGAAGGGTGTTGCTGCAAGCACTTGCCCTGCCCGTTGACTGCCGGCCAGCCTGAAGGGAGTGGAAGAAAATGCCGCGGGCTTTGCTGGAGCAGCTGACTTCAGCGCAGCTTCCTCCACAGCAGGTTTCTTGGGAGCCTTACTTTCCGCTTGGCTGCAGCTCACAAAAACCAAAGCTCATTGTCACAAGCCCCAGTGTTCGAAGGCCAAAAGTACTGCAGCAGCTGGGCACGCGGCAGTGGCGGTTGGGGGGGCCCCCCTGGGCTTCCCAAACTTCGAGTAGAGGTTCTGGCCGTCAGCAGCGGCATGCCGCACACGCACTGCAAACTCAACGTAGGCAAGACGCAACACAGGGGCGAGTTTGGGCGCTTAGGGGCAAGGACCCTATCCTGAACTCGGAAAGCTGTAGATTTTGGTGATTTCCTGACACAAACTGCCGTTCACGATGAGAAACCTCAAAGGGTGGATTCAGTTTGGGCTACTTGTGTACACCATGCAAGAAAAAGTGCCCAACTATCGGCCGATGGTGCCATGGCTTGGCTCGGAGATCGCAGCTCTAGCAATGAGGTTTTCTTCCGCAGCCGATTGCCACTGCTCAACTGGGTTGAAAAAACAACCCCGTGGACAACCCTTGTATCCTTATACCCTAGTATCGGTCAGTATCGTTGTTTTTTCCTCTGCATCGGTTTGCAGTGTTTTGGCAGCTCTAGCTCGGAAGTCGTGACTTTTCCGTACAAGTGTAGTATGCGAAGTACACTCTGCCAGCTCCCAGCTCCAGCTGGAAAGTCGCAACTTTTCAGTACAAGTGTAGTACGCAAAGTACATTTTGTCAGCTCCAGCTGGAAAGTCGCAACTTCTCAGTAGTATGCGCAGTAGACTTTGGCAGCTCCGGCTCGAAAATCGCAGCAAGTTGTTCAGTACAAATGTGGTACACAAAGCACATTTTGGCACCTCCAGGGAAGGCTGCAGGGCAGCTGGTTGGATTCGGCGTGGCGGCCACTGAGTTGGGTATCGGTTGGGTATCGGTTTGGGTATCGGTTTGGGCCCTGCAAATTTATGATTCCGCGATCTTGGCTTGCGACAACAACTTGGACCCGATGTGTGTCTTCATGGCTTCTGGGGGTATCGGTTTTTCTTCCTCTGTATCGGTTTACAATGGTTTTGGCCTGCGAAACAAGTTAAGGGACGGCCCCTTACATAACGAAAAGGCGCGGGGTATTTTTTTCAGCCCAACTTGAAACCAGTGGAGGAACAGTACACAACATTGGCTCTCATCGTTTTTTTGTGTACGGGACGCAACATGGGGACAATTCACTCGTGAGCCCCTAGCAATTGATTGACATCGGCAATGCACGGCGAATATTGACTGTAGCTCGGGCGTGTTGTCTGAGATCAGAGGCTTTTGTGTGGGCTCAAAGCAAGACCAGCGTTGTTCGCCTGGTGGGCCTCATCTCATAAAGCCCCGCTATTGCCGCCAGCTTTCCGTTCAGGGGGAAGGCCCAGAGCCCTTTTGAGTTTGAGCCAACACAGGAGCCGAACAAAAATCATACACAAAAGGCTCTAAGAAACATGGGAAACCAAAATGACCCAAGATGAGAACCGGGACCTCCAAGTCCAAGTGCCGGAAGTTGCTCTCGTAGTATTGCCTCCCAGCCCGCAGCTAGGGCAGCGGGCGCTTTGCCCCCCCAAAAAAAGACAGGCCAAGGGCACACACACACACAGCATGCCGCTCAGCATAAGAAAACGTACCAACATAAATATACACCAGCAAAACAACGACACAGCTGAAACCGGCCAGGGGTTTTGTGGTGTCAACAGCTTGCCGCATGGCCTGAAAGGCAGCAGCAACGTAGCAGCCTTCGACGCGGACACGATGACCTTCGCGGGGGGGAATACTCCGTCCGGCGCAAGCCAAAAAACATGCCTCCCCGCCAGGCAAGTGCTCTCAAGATGCTGCGGGTTTGCCCGACATGCTACGATTGGGACGCATATGTGAAACCGGCAATCACTGTAATCAAGGGTGCTGCGTTGCTATTGAAAGCTTTTGAGGTCGGTCCAGTCCTTATTTCTCTGGGATGACTAGGCCGACGGCACTTGCCTTTCTCAGCTTCAGGCTTTGGCCTGTTTTCGGACTGTCACAGATGCCCTGTGTCCGGCCACGGGAGGCTCAGGCTTCGGACTGTCGCCGCTGCTTTGGTCCACAGCTTCGGCCTGTCACATCCTGGGCCATAGTGCAAACCGCAAACCGCAGGGACGATGAGATCCTGGAGGCCGTTTGGGAACAGCTGCATGTGGCTTCAGCGAGCCCACATGTGATAAGAAGGGCGATGAGCGAGAAGAAGGACAAGAAAAGGAGGCGAACAAACGATGGGATTGATGGCGGCGTACGTTGACGGCACGATGGTCTTGGTAGAAGGGGCCGTGAGGAGAAGTGTAATCGAGCCGATTGGCCAAGCTCAAAGATCTCAGTTCCGGAAGAGGTCACGGAGGCGATTTGAAGGAGAAGCATTTTCGAGGAGCTGCTAGACTCACGGGCGCCAACCCAATGACCACCTCAGAGTGGCGGGAGTCTCAAGAAGCCTCAAGCCGCGGACGGTCACGGCTGGCAGTTCTTGTCTGTCACAGCCCCAAAAAGTGATTTGGTTTCTGAGTCAAAGAAAACGCACACCCTTACTTCATCCTCGATGGGTGCATGAATCCTAGGTTGCCGTTGCACCATATTACTCTATAGACCTTAGGTTTGGATAGGAGCTTTCAGTGGTACCTGGCCAGTACATTGGGCCTTGCCCATCATGTCCCCAATCGACTGGCAAACTCAGCTGAGGCAGCGGGCATCTGGAATGACCTGACCTGAGGTGAGCTCTGGAGCCAAACCGAAAATGCTTTGACCCCAAGCGAATTGGAAGCTGCATGCCAAGCTTCCTGTGATACATCCTCTGAGTCATCAAAATCAGGATCTACCCAAAACAGGTCTACCCAACAGTTTTGAAATTCAATCGGATCTATCCAAAACCACTTTCTCAGAAGGGCGGCGTCTATGGCTGGCTCCCAGCCTCGGACCCGGGAGTTGAATTTTGATCATCAAGCCCGGACCCCAATTGTGATGCCAAAGAAGGATTCCCATCCATTTCCAAGACTACTGTATCGCTTTCAAGGCGACTGTGGAAAGTGGCAACCAACAAAACATGTTTCAAAAGTGTGTGACGCGCCCTCGGCTCGGCCCCGCGCCGGGCACTGCCCTGAGCAACGGTCAAAAAAATCGCACAGCCGACAAGCTCAAAGGGACCGCAAAGGCCGCAAAGTATCGTGGGTTACCAAATTTGGCTTCTGCCGTTTAAAGGAAACGCCGGAGGCTGACTGAATAATACTAGCCGAAGCACGTTTGAAGTGGTTGGCCCAATGCCAATTGCACCCCCATGATGGCCCCGCAACCTCAGGAATCCTGCGCCAAGTTGCTTTTGAACCAGGAGTAAGCTGGAAGTGAGGCCAACATAAGACTAAATGAGAGAGGGGGTGTGCCTGAGGCTTCTGGCTGGGATTCAAGGACACTAAAAGCCTTGGACGGCTCCAGCATAACACTCACAAACAATTCCAGAACATGCAGCATAACAAGCTAGCCAAGGGGTCCCAAATATGTCCGCGTTCCGCGATCTTTCGGTCCAAGCCCTGAGAGCTATGGATGGAGGATATTGCAGTGCTGCTTGCTCCCGGTCATTCAGTGAAACGATAGCAGCTGCCAAGATCTTGCCTTGCACCAACCATCGCTCTTGAGAAGCGCTCAAAGGTCATTGAGGCTTGCTCCTGCCAAGCTGGTTGCCTCAAAACTAGGGACCCCCAAAATGGAGTGGCATTTTGCGGTTTTCGCCTGAAATGACCCCAACATGGGTCCCCAGATTTGACAAACACCCACGGGAGCAGCTGATACTAGTGCCAGTGGTAGTCCGCTATTAGCTTTGCAGACTAAGGAATATCGGTTCGGGCGATTCTGCAAGTTGCGTTTGGGGGCGCAGTTCCTTTGCACCATTTGAAGAACAATCGTGAGTGAACAATTTGGATCAACCCATATCCAGCTGTGCAGAAAACTCATTGACTCTTGGTTCACCAACGCAGATGATATAGCATTTCACTGTATTCTAAGCCAGTGCCAGTGAGCCGGTCTCAGAATATTCTAGGCCGAGAAGTAGAACTCTGTACTGAATTGGTCTCGCTATCAACAAAGCCAAGGAGGCAAACCGAGAATGGGACGGGGCGCGCTGAATTCAATCGCTCAGCTTCCGGCTTCAACTGAGCCTTGGGGTGCATTGCCTCAGCTGAGCGACTCGCTGACTCCAGATGTCTCCTCCGAAAGGGAAACCAACGTATGCAATCAGTTGTCCTATATATGTATATATCTATGTATGTATATATACAAAGACATACGGGTTACATTACCTGACATATCATGCCGTACCATACAATATCACTACAGTGCATTGCATTGCATACATAGATACATGACATACATGCATGCATTGCATTGCATTGCATTGCTTTGCATTTACATACGTACATTACATACATACATACATACATACATACATTACATTACATTACATTACATTACATTACATTACATTACATTACATTACATTACATTACATTACATCACATCACATCACATTACATTACATTAATACATACATACATACATACATACATACATACATACATACATACATACATACATACATACATACATACATACATACATATATA